GGTAAGGTAGGGTAGGGTAGGGTAAGGTAAGGTAAGGTAAGGTAAGGTAAGGTAAGGTAAGGTAAGGTAAGGTAGGTAGGTAGGTCGGTGGGTGGGTGGGTGGGTGGGTAGGTAGGTAGGTGGGTGGGTGGGTAGGTAGGTAGGTAGGTAGGTAGGTAGGTAGGTAGGTAGGTAGGTGGTAGGTAGGCAATGCAGGAGGGAGGTGGGTAGGTAGGTAGGCAGGCAGGCAGGTAGGTAGGTAGGTAGGTAGGGGTTTTCAACTTCGGGGCTTGCACTGTAAGCCCTAAACTAAACTTAAACTGCAAAACACCGCAAGCCCCAAAAGCCGTAAAGCTCTAAGACGAGCGGAAGGCGGAGGGTATCCGGCAGTCGAGGAGCGATGAACTATGAAGTTCAAGGGTTGTTGGGTTCTTTGGCATTGTAAATATATATGTATATACACACAATTAAATACATAAATAAGTAAATAAATAAATAAATAAGCAACCGTATAACAGATAGATAGATAGATAGACAGATAGATTATTGGTGGTAGTAGTAGTAGTAGTAGTAGCAGTAGCTGTAGTTGTAGTAGCAGTGTTATTTTTAGTAGTGTTATTCTTATTTTGTTTTTATTTATAATCGTTGTTGTTATTTTTGTTGTTATTGTCATTAGTACGGTTTTTATTATTTTCAGGTATTTTTGCATAATATTTTGCTGGTATATGATTACACTATTATATTACCATATTATTATATCGTTATGTATGTATACACTCGCTTAAATAATTATATATATATATATATTCACCGACTTTGGGATTTCGGGTCTACAGGATGTTTTTTCGAAGCTTAAGCAGGATAAAGTGCTTTGGGGAAGATTGGCGATGGGAACTTCGGGCTGTGGTTCGAGAAAGTGGGAGGTGTTGGGTGGGAGTCTAGGTGGTGAGGGTCTGACGGGCATTTGGAGTAACATAGCTGTCGGAACAAATAGTCCCTAGATAATTTCGCCACAATGACGGATCCCGAAACATCCCCAAAGCCCTACATCACGAGGAAGCTTCCTGCGTTTCGGTTCGAAGCTCGGCTCAACTCGACGGGAAGCTCATACCAAGACCTAAACCCTTACACGCTGAACCCTTAAATCCTAAATCCTGCACCCCTAAACTGATTAAATCCTAAACCCGCTATAAGTGCAGGTGTCCAGTCCAGCGCACATCAACCAAACTCTACAAGCCCTCCTAAACCCCTAAACCCTTGAACTCCAAGCCCCCCTGGATGCAGCAGAGGACGAGCTGGGCTGGCTGTCCGAGCTCCTGTCACCGGAGGCCGGGTAGTATGAATAGTGCGTTTTAAAACGACTTCATAGGGGCCTTATATCTAATAGTTGGAATAGGGTTTTGGGGCCCATAATAATATACGAAGGCCCCTATATTATATTGGGCTTTAACCTGGGCTTTAGATTGTTGGGGTTCAGGGACTTGATCTGGCTGGACATGTCCGGTGCGTTGGCTTCCGTGCAGTGCAGCGTGGCAGGCGGACCTCTACCGAAACAGCACGCGCATTTACGCTTGGGGCCCGTGAACCTCAACCAGCAGGATTCGCAGCTTTAGGGTCTTTGGGTCTCCCTGTGATTTTGTGGGCCTTAACAAAGCTGAGGCTACAAAACTACTTACTTGTTTTGAGTACATGGATCCTATCTCAATAATGTGTATAGGGTCAAAAGGGTGTCGATTTCAGATGTTGGGTGCTTGGACGCTGACAGGCTCGGGCTTCATGCATTCGTCCAGGGTCGTTTGACTGCTAGGCACTATGGGATCCTCAGAAAAAGCAGTAGCCTAAGGCCTAAATAATTACCTAGATTATTTTGGGTGGGTTCCTGATTATAAGTATAGTATAATGGCTGTTCCTTTCAAAACGATTCTTCCCTCAGCCTAGTCCAAGACACCCACAAGTCCCCAGCTCTCTTAAAGGGCCCCTGCAAGCAGATGAACCCTCATCAGCCTCGTCTTCCGAAAATTCCCGAACCACGACTTTAGATTGCTGAGTTCAACAACCGCACACCTCCTCCTCTCAGGATCCTGAAAGTTCGAACCTCGAAACCTCACCACACCTCCACGAGCAAGAACGCCCGCGGAGCCTGTCTTTGCAAATAGTTGTATTCGAGCCCGCGAAAATGGGGTCACGGAAATCAAATGCGGCACCCTCGTTGTAAGGCACCTATGCGTTTCACACACTCAGGTCAAGGAGAAGTGCGGCGATGCTGCGATGCCTGGCGCGGAGGCGAGGGCTTCCTGATAGTTTTGCGACCGTTTACTAGTATCGTGTTCATGTGCATCATACTTGTGACCGTCTTCTCAGAATTGTTGGGTTCCGTCGAAAACACTTCTACCGGACCGTTTAGGTCCGGCGCCAGGCGGCCCCACGAACTGAGGGGTCCTTGGTACCCAACTTGGAAAGTTTGCAGGCTTTGCTGAACTTCAAGGGGATACCGTTAGTCATCTTCCCCTGAACCCTGAACCCCTAGACCCTAAACCCTAAATCCCTAAACCCTCAACCGACCCCTATGCTAAACCCTCGGAGCCCTACAACCCTAAACCCCAGGAGTCCTTGCGCGAAGCCTTGCTACCCTTTGCCAAGGCTCGGTGACTCCCTCTCTTTTTTTGGAGCGGTTTAGGGCTTAGGGGTTTAGGGTTTAGGGCTGGGGTCTAGGTTTTGTCTATTTAATAGGAGGCTTAGTCTGGGACTTCGGAGTACATGAAGGCGCACACTCCGCAAAAGATCCTCGCAGCATATTAACTTCCAACCCAGAGGCTGGAGCACCGCAGAATGAACTCGCAAGACGGGGACAGTCCTCACAGTCAGGGACGGATAGTATTGTTCTCGGCTGCGACGACAGAAGGTGAGGTTTGGTTTGAGTGTCGTGATGGTGACATATGGTGAGTGTGAATCGCACCTATATAAGCCATCCTTCTCAATATCGTCACTCATCATTACAGTCATCGCATTATGCTGGTTGAGGGACCCAAGCGAGGGAGGGGGAGGGAGGGAGGGAGGGAGAGGGAGGGAGGGAGAGGGAGGGAGGGAGGGCGGCTTCGTGCAGGAGACGGACGAACTATCAGTAGCACCATCTTCTTCGCGCACTCTAGAATGTCTAGAACCGGCAACCAGCCTCAGCATGCAACATATCTGAGCAGCATTCCTGGCGCAGGTTGTCGAAGTGACACGAGTCGATGATGAGCTCCGTGCAGACGATGCCGGGGCCCTCGGCCATGGCTCCGCACCAGAAGCAGGAAGCCTTGGGGTCTATGACACAAAGGCATCTGCGGAGATTTTTGGTTCTCTTACGTCGCGAAAAGGTAAGCAAGTTTCAAGAAGCCACCTGCTTTTAGAGCTCGCGCCATGATTCCTTCACACCCCGAATGCTTTCCGCAAGTATTGCTGTGCTTCAAAGTTGTCGAGAGCCGAAAGTGATCCATGTAGTTCCATTTACAATGCATCGTGGTCCGGTGCCTGCGCTTGATAGGAATCCTCCACAAATAAGAAGATGCCGCCGACGCCCAGCGAAAAGCAATGCAGCGCGCGTCCAGTGGCACCACATGCTGTAAGTTGTACTCACGCACCATACACCCTACAATTTGCTTTGCTCCCAACGCCCTGGGTGTTGCCAAAGTGCTTTGGGGAAAATGGTTACGGCTCAAGCCAATTTTGTTCCTATCAAGTTGCTGGTGCTGTGATTTTTTGCAACATCTCTGAAGCCATGACCGACGCAGCTGTGAACATTCTCGCCAACATGACCGAAGCCGACGCACCTTTGACAGCAACTGAAGATGCAGGCGCTGTTGCTTGGATTTTGACGTCAACTGCCTTGGTCTTTTTGATGACGGCAGG